ATTGGCAATGCTGCCTTTGTTGTGGGTTGGCATCGCCCTGGAGTACCCAATATATCGCGCATACATGGCCGATACAAGCGAGTATACTGACATGTATACGGGAAAACTTGAACGTGACTATTCGAGTGCATATACACAAGCTTGGACCTACGCATTGTACCTCACGGGAATGCAGACTTGGTCCACAAAGGATGCCAAGGCTATGCAGGACATGTGGTACGCTGCCACACAATGGAATCTGTACTTCATGTTCCCCCTGGTGCTAAAGTTCTTACGCCACTTTCGTGTAGGCGTCCTCCCGTCAGCTACAAATGAGCCGGTGTCAGGCTCAAGGAAACTTGTGCTGGTGTGCTTGATCATGACCATGGTTCTGTGGGCATACTTTGCGGTGACATATGTATTCATTTGGGCTGTTGCCAACCCTCTAGGGCACCTACCCATGTTCGTGGGTGGTATTCTAACAGCCGAACTAGCCGTATTCACGTTTAGGGATAGCATGTCACTGCCCACACACCGTGCGTATGATCTGCACCAAGGCAAATGGACAAGCCTCAAATACCGAGTCTCCCGCGCAGTGACAATCGACACTATGGCAACCGCACTGGTGGTGTCTGCGATCTGCCCACTGGGAATGTTCGGTACTTTCCAGCCAGCTGTGGCAGATAGTGTGGCTCATGTACTAATTCCTGTACTGTTCTGTGCTTTGTTGTACACACTCTGCGACATACCGCAGCGCAACTCGAGCTTGATGATCCAGGTGCTGAACTGTCAACTGATCAATAGTGTGGGTGGGGTGTCGTATCCTCTATATATTGTGCACAAAGCTCTGGGAGATTACTACATCAACCAGGCCGTGCACCCAGAGAAGCACATTGACACACCACTGGCTGAGTTTTGGCTGCACGGGGAAGGGGTTGTGATGAAGGCGACGGTCTTCTGCGCTGCCTTCGTGGTGGCGTGGTGTCTGCAACACTACTATCAGAACAAGTTGGTGGTACCCGCGTTTGTGCGAATCCAGACATGGTATGCTAGCAGGAAATAGAACAACGGGATCACAATTTAGGTGCCCTGTAAAATTATACTATAAACTTTATTATAATTGTTTATACTATAAACTTTTACAAGTATCATGATGATTGTCATACTTAATATAACTAACAGCACATATTACTATTATGTCGTATATCCGCTAAAGTTATACTCTATATACCCTCTAATCAATAAACTTGAAGCGTACTACAACCCACAATACGGTAGATGGTGGTTTTTACTAAATTTATTATATTCATGCAGTGAACGCCTGCATAATACGATGTTTTATATCAGCGAGAAACGCTAGTATAGTTCGGAAAAGCAACAGAGCCACATGTCCGAGACAATTTCAATCCATTGACATTTCTTATAATATCTTCTCCTCGGCCTTTTCTTTACCTCCGGTCTCAATATCGTAGGCAGGCACTGAAGGTGCGGTGGCTACGCTATGATCCTCCCATGGAGCATCGAAGCGCGTGGTTTCTCGTGCGTCTGCGATTGGCTTGATCAGACTAGCATCACGATGGTGCATATCTCGCGTGGATAGAGCCCGTTTTAAGTGCTTTAAATGGGACAATTGGACAGTTGAGCTGCTGGGACGGGCTGCAGGCGGGATCGTTGGCGTTCTATGAAGGACCTTGCCTCCTTTCTGTTGTCTAGTATCTTCATGCACAGAAGCTGAGGAGCCTCTCCGGGGTTTCCTCCTACTCTTCCTACTGTTCAGAGCCATACTGTCGTTGAGGCTCATCTGCGCAACATCTTTGAGATATCTAACGCTCGCAGGCCCGGCCTGGGAAGGGTCCTTCGCATACTGATGCAACCCATCGTCGGCCGCACCGGCTTCATTGTCGTACGTGTACATCTCACTAGGGGCACTCAGTACAGAGGTAAATACTTGCAAGGCAGTGCCCAGCTCATAACTCGCCTCCGCCTCTGCCTCCAGTGGCTGGCCTTTCTGTTGGGCCAAGAGCCGCCGGGTCATTGTCTTCAGACATCGGAGTATACCCGTACGATAGCTGCCGATAGTGTGCTGCGATGGTATGCGTTTGGAGCGTAGCTGGAACATCCTCTCGGGGAAGCACGGGTTGATGATCATATCTCCACGCTCGGCTATCACATAGCACGTTCCCACATGCTTGTAGGTGATATTCAGGAACTGAGGAGCCATGAACTTTGGCAGGCCACAGACGGGATCGCCATCATTCACCAGTCGGTGCGTGTTGGGTACTAGTTGGTTGTACTGTGCCGCGAAGCGGCTGTTGCCAACACGGGGACTCCCAAACGTATACACAGTCAGCTCTAACTCACTCGTAGCAAACTCCTGGGCCAACTCAAACGCACAGAGGGTGGCTAGAGCTCCTCCTAAACTGTGGCCGGTGATGAATGTGTGGAGTGGTGCAGGGCGTTTCCCTGAGATCTCCCCACACCCAATACCCGAAGTGTGACTGGGGATTGTACAAGGGCTTTCTCTGTGTGGACTTGTCCTGTGCCTGTTCGACACCACCTCACTGGCCAAATCCGGCATGTGATCGCCATCTGATGCAAGATGCGGGTCTGCGTCTCTGAGTGGTTTGGTACTCGCATCCCCTGTAGTCTCCCTACCAGCCGTCCGCAGAACACTACACTGTGCGCACACATTCGCACCTGGCCCCTGTAAGTCCTGTGCACGCTCAATCTGCTGCCGCATGCACGCAAACAAACGCTCGCGAATGGACGCGAAGGCCATCATAAAGCCCTGATGCACTAGGACATTCTCCGTTCGGCAATCCGATTGAGTCGCACACGAGTGCCTGGAGCGACGGCTGGCTCTGGTAAGGTCCGTACATGTAGGTACGAGACTCGCGCGTAAGTCAGTGACCGCGTTATCTTTGCTTTTCGTGCCACGGAAGGATATCACCAGGTTGTCGTCCTGTGTGAACACCAGGAAATGCGTGTCCGTGGCAGCGTCTTCTACGTGCTCGATCACGTGGTAGTCCGTGTTGTTGCCTTCAAAGGCGGTCTTAAACGTCTGCATGCCCTCGCGCTCAGCCTGACTCACCTTCCCTATACCCAGAGTCTTCATATGTGGCTCTGGGCAAGCATTGTTCGACACACTCGGCATCGGCCGTCTGCCACTATACGGACTACCTACCGCTTGGACCTGACAAGGGCTACCTACCTCTTGACCCTGACGAGGGATACCTACCTTTTGACTCTGATAAGGGCTACCTACCAATTGACCCTGACAAGGGCTACGTACCTCTTGACTCTGATAAGGGCTACCTACATCTTGACCCTGACAAGGGTTACGTACCTCTTGACTCTGACAAGGGCTACTTACCACTTGACCCTGAGAAGGGCTACCTACCGCTTGACCATGATAAGGGCTACCTACCGCTTGACCCTGATGAGGGCTACCTACCACTTGACCCTGATAAGGGCTACCTACCTCTTGACCCTGATACGGATTTCCGACCTCTTGACCCAGTGCGTAGGCCGCAATCCCCTCACTTGTTTCCGCACAGTGTTGAGCTGAACTTCTCCCAAACACTCCGTGAGTGTGTGGCAGATGGCTCCCACTCACTAGCCTCCCACCCAGCAACCCACAACCTCTGTCTCGGGTGCAAGGGTCACCCGTATGGCTTTGTCGATCGCTCGCGGTGTGGATAGAGTTACGTCGCCCGCTGCCTCTCACTGAACAATTCACAGCAGCGTGTGCACAGCACACGTCATCACGCAGACACACACCCTCCTGTGCGCAGCACGTCTGTGTTCTTCGCACAGACGACACAGCACCCACACACACGGCCCTACTAACGACACCCACATAGCCTTGCCTGGCCATACGTCTGGGGGAAACTACCTGGGTGTCCCTATTCACACACTCTCTACCGAGGAAACCTCGGCCGGTCTCGTGCTCAGGGTCTACATCACCCGTCATACCAGCCGTATATACACTATTCAGAACTATCTCACCACTCGGGTTTCTTTCTGTGGTACTATGCGACTCACTACAGAGTCTCCCGTCGCCCTTAGATTCACCTCCGTCGCTCTTGCACAGCCCTGGCGCACTGATTTGATGATAAGGAGTTCCACAGGCAGACTGCCGCTGGACACCCACCGTCGTGTGCTTGTACGCAAACCGACTACCCGCACGCATCCAATGGGCTGTGTACAACGAGAACACACCACGCACATGTGACGATCGATTGAGTATAGACACCTCCGTCACAGCCACGTCTAGCTGCTCCTTGCTTGGAGGTAGGTATCCGTAGGTGGTGCTAACGACTGTCAGGACTACCAGCACATTGGTTGCGAAGCTGCGGACAAATAAGGTGGAGAAGCCAGTGTAGGAGTCGTAGCGATCCACGCGCAGCCTATTCAGCCACACATTGGGCAGTACGGACCCCTCCAAGATCCAGATGACATACACCATACTCTGGTATAGTATCATCACTCGCACGCCTATCTGTCTGTGCCGCACATACAGCGACCACTCGCCGCGAAAGCGTCGCACGTTCAGATGCCCAACCCACATCATGCGGCCAAAGTAGAAGGAAACGAGTGTGATGGAGAGCACAAAACCCGCAGTGTCCATCCGACCGATTGCTTGGTATGACGCCTTGTCGAACAGCTCCATGAACTCAAACGAGAACAGCAACAGAACCACAGCCACCCACACACACAGGAAGACGATCTTGGACAGGTAGAACCGCCAGCTGCCCATGGAGACGTGGCCCTCCATGTAGAAGGAATGCATGAACAAAAGATTAACGAAGAATATCACGCCGACACTCAGGTTCACGATTAGCTCGTCCGTGGCTATGAGAGTGGTCAGGGCGGCTGTACTGGTGTAGATGATGTTGGAAACGGCCATGTAGTAAACGGGATCACTTGCCACTATGATGGCAGCCACGCACTGGCACACAGCCCATTTGCGCTCCACAATCCATTCCGAGAAGGGCAATTGGGTATGTGCGTATGTCATGCGGATAAAGACTACTGTGTACACTACCATACCACCCCCGAGCAGAACGTGGGTGCCAAAGATACACCACAGGAAAGCGTCAGAGACAGTGATGTACACAACGCTCACACTCGAGCCATGCTCACTCGTTCCACTGTTAGCTTTAAGCTGAGTAGTTGTGGTAGTTGTGGTAGTTGTGGTATTTTTACTGTCGGCTATGGTGTTGTTAACTGAGTTGGTGGTAGCCATATTGAGGGTAGCACTGAAAGGACTAAACCATTGGTGGAATAGCACCTGCACAGTGATGCTCTCAAACTCAAACAGATCCGCACAATCGTCACGGCCCAGTTCAGAAGCCGTCAACAGCGACACCTCACACACACTCCCGACCCATCCACATTCCAAATCCCCAGCATGACTCACAATGCTGTTAAGGATAGTGTTCTGCTCAGCTATCTGCTGGCCTTGCAAGATCACTGTGAAGTTCAGGTGCAGTGTGTACGGCTGACCGTCCCAGTTTTCACTTGGGGGTCGTGAGATGTACATGAGCACGTCGAAATCGCCATTGATGGGTTGGTAGTCCGTGTACGTGGATAGCAGAACCGTAGTGAGATTGGTGGAATTGTTCATATCGATCATACTTTCATTCACACCTTGGTACAGATTATCGTATGCACACACTAAGGTCGTATTACTATCCAGTTCCAGAACATCGCCATCCTTCCCACAGAGCGTATCGTTGTCCATGTTTGCCTTTAGTAGCTGCGAGTATATAGCAGTGGCATCGCACACATACACACAGCTCATCTGCTTACCTAGCGACATGCCAAACGCAGCCACATCATCAGGTGTACACATGGTCACAGGATAGTGACTTTCCAACAGCATCCATGAAGGCATTACCAGCAGTAGCACCACCAGAAAAACAGTCGCCATGAACACTAAGCTTGTGATGCAGACAAACTCTGTTCTTGAAATGGCTTCTAGTCGTATAACTGGAGAGGATTTGAGACGTACCTTTCCCCCAGCGACAACATCACTACCATTGCGTTGTGCTACATCCTTACCGATGCTGTGGAATGCATCACCATTGACGTGTACCGTATTTACAGGGCTGTGTAATGCATCACCAGTACTGTGTGATATATTGCTACTCATTGTGTGTGTTGTATTATCACTATTGCTATACAATTCCTCTGTGATAGATTGTGAAGTCTCTGCAGCCATTGTGTTCGACATCATAAGTAGTCGATACCGAGTGGATGTGATTGAATTGCTAACAGCGTTTAGTTAGATATCGAAGTAGGAGTTCAGCCAAAAGTACAGATTGTATATGTGCGGTATGTGTGCACACGCACCTCCGCTCTTCTTTCCCATAACCGCAAGCCAGTGTGGAAAATACAAATGCATTACGTTATACTGCCATACTGAGATAGTACATGCCACAGCAGTTACTAGAAAGTCTACAATATATACTGCAATACTGTTTTTTCAATCTACTAAAATCTAAACCATCGTAAATATCAGATGCGTATCTAAACTACACAAATCTTCTCACATAGACGGCTATATACAAGCATCTGTGGTAAAGCTAACGGTGGTAGCCTGTAGAGTGTAGGGGAGTGTACGTAGGGACTTTACAGACTTGTAGAGAGGGACTGTATGTAGGCCCCTGAATTTTTAAATTTTAAACCCCCCTGTGAATAAATTAATAGACCTCAAACCGGTTTCTGTTAAAACTTTAATAAATCGAATAAATATACGTTTACGTTAAACCTTTATTTTACATGCGGTCCTCTGTATGCTCATATGTGCAACTTTCGGGTCTAAACATTTAAGTGTGTGCGATGTTCACGATACGAACCAGTCCTATAAAGGAACTTAGATAGGCCATTCTGAACACATTATAACCGTTATAACGTTCAACTTCTACCCCCATAACGTTATGAACTTAGTTTGACTCTGTGATTCTGTGTATTTGTATTCATTTATGAATGTGTCAAGTAAATTTTTTTGTTTGCTATTTTTTACAACAAAAAAGGAATATGTAGTAAGGATCGATAACCCCATTTAATTAGTCAGGGGTATATGAATGTGTCACAGGAATATCTATTTATATATTTAAGCTCTATACTTTGTAGTTTTTTATATATAAAAACAATTGTATTTACACACATATGTATTTACATTGTATTGTTTTTTAGGAGATATAAAAATATAACATAAACGTCTGAAATCTCATTTTTATTTTTTTATATTGTCTTGCGGTCTGGTTGCCTCTTGGAGTCTCTTGGTCAGTCTTTCTAATATGGGTTTTGGCTGTTTTTTTTTTCAACAAAAACATAACACAAAAAAATTATGTACGTATTTATGTGCATGACTGCATGTATTTTTTTTTTTAAATATTTACACAATGCTGTATGTCAAGAAAATATCTATTTATAGATATTAATGTAGAAGGCCGTATACTGTTATTTAATTGGTCGAGACTGACATCATCGAATTGATTAGAAGGTATTGTATTTTCAATGTTACCAGCAACAGTATTTACCGGCAGGCCCAGGCCCCCCAGAGTAGAGGTATTTTTCTATATAATTTATTTTATGTAGTCTTCAGTTTTTTTTAAATACAATATACGGTATGTTTTTATATATTTTATAGATATGTGATATCACACCTGCACTCCAAATGCAGAGCAATACTTGAAACTAATTACGTAATTTAATATCACGGTGCGCTTATATCAAGCTGAAACGCGTTGATAAGTAGAATATACGTATAGTCAAATAGGTACTTGTACGCGCATACAATAGGGATAGTAGTGGTATTAGGACACAACATTCGTCACTCAGCTGCTGTTGAATAACATATCAAAGTTCTCTCTCTAGTTACAAATACGTACATACCACGCCAATTCTCGCATATTATTGGATTACCTGGCTCCTTCGCGGCAACGTATATCTAACTAACATTATATTTACAAGTTTATACTTTTTTTTTTGGATAGATACAGTTTTCACAGATATAACAGATGGTTTCGAATACAACAACGGCAGAAGTGTAGTATCATGTCCAATCTATCACAATGGCTTAGGAGCTGCTGGGTATCTGAGGCTGACCCCACGTACGAACAATGTGACCTATGCCGAGGCACAGGTGTAGTCGGATACCATTGTAAGTATGATCTTTTCTAACATAT